GAATGCTTACAACCCATCAATTCGGTGTTAATTCATTTTGACGATTGGACATATAACGTACCTTGAGCCATCTATCTATACACTTGGAATGAAAGTCATGTGAACATGGAAGCTTTCTTAGTTTTTCTCTGTTGTTGTAATCCATCATGCACACAACACAACTCCCATTAGACATTTCTTTGTTACTCGCACTGTAACGGAATGAGTGGATGCGGTCTATGGCTGCAATAAAAATAATGACAAGATAAGCAATGGTTTAAGGGGGTTTCATTTATTAACGCATGAAGGGGGAGGGGGGGGTCGGCAAAATTGTAGGGGGGTTACGTCATTTTGAGAAATGGTTAGGGGGGTATCACATATTGAGTGGGGTTGATAACTATTGCAGGATGATTAAAGGGGGGTTATGCAATTGTTGCCTGTACTCTTATTTATAAACTTTGGGTCAGTTTAAACGTCAAACTCCACATTTAAATAAATTCAAACAATAGGTTTTTCTTATGTGCATTAGATTTGGTACATGTGAAATGGACCATTTTCGAGTTCCAAATTACCGCTGTGTTTCTTGATTACAGACTCATTTACTCAGGATTAGCCTCGAATCAGTGTCTAAATACTCACAAATACCAACGGTAAAGTAAAGAATGCACAACTTCAACAATACAAACACTTTGAAATTCCCTGTATCTTCACTGAAACTCATAAATATTTTGCACAATATCAAGGCTAAGTCTAAGCAACAGAGAACTCGAAACTGGGCATTGTATTCTACAATAATCACTTCCAGTAAGGGGTTTACGTGGGTTAACTCCTCACACACTACCACTAAGCACTCGACATACATGTTGATTCGTACGGAAAGGGGAAAAGGGAGAACCTAGAGAAAATGTTTTGCCTTGAAAGAGAATGAAATTCTTCCTTACCTTCTTTGTTAAGCCCTCGTGATTTGGCTGGTCCGATGCGTTCGGTTAGATTCCATAACGCCTGGAAATAAAACAGTTATTTTATTAGTGAGGAATATAAAGTAATGACTTACACGGTAAGCCATGGTGTACCACCGAAACGGCTTGCAATAAAGAATGTTTATTGTACGAGTGGGAAACATACGGTAATGACTTACAGCACGTACACGGTACGCCATGCCGTAACAGTAAAATGGCTTCCCATAAGAATGGTTTTGGTATTGAACTGACTTACAGTACGTACACGGTACGCCATGCCGTAACACTGAAATGGCTTCCCATAAGAATGGCTTTCGCACTACGTATGAGTGAAAAATGTACGGAGCTGACTTACAGTACGTACGTACAAGGTACGACATGTCATAACATTGAAATGGCTTTCCATAGGAATGTTTATTGTATGAGTGGGAAACATACGCTACTGGCTTACAGCAAGTACACGGTACGACATGTCGTTCATTAAGAAACGAAACGGCTAAAGCACTGGATACGAGTTCCGTATCTTTTCCCACTCGTACGAAATTTGCTCTAGAGATAAAACTGCAAAACTCACTTCATAATCTTCGTTTTCGTTTCCATGGTTTTGTACTGGATCAAAGTGATGCAGTGGAGGAGGAAGTGACGTCATGGACCTGTAAGCATACCGATGTCAACGAATCAATGAGGGAAAACGATGGGAGGGGAGGTAGAGAAAATACATGTGAGAAACCCTATTTATTATTACTTTGTTTATCCACAGAAAACCACATCGCAATGAGGAAATCTGCGAAAATAAGGAGTTGTCTATGAAAAATTACGCATCTCTTTCAAACTTCTATACCCATCCATGTCCTCCCCTTCTTTCTCCTCTCATTCCTTCCCAAACGAAAGACAACAGACATAATAATCCCTTTTTGACATAGATTGCAGTAAGGGATGGACCATTAGAAAATTAAGGGGGGAGCGGGGTAGGGAGGTTTGCAGGAAATTATGTTGTACGATATTTATCTTTTTGTAGCAGTCTTTGTAAGAAATTATTTTGTGTTCGTTCAATATCTACTGGGTTGCCTGTGACAGCCCAGTCGTAAGATGCCTTTGGTTTTCTTTTTTTTTTCTTTCTTTTTTTCTTTCTTTCTTTCTTTTTTTCTTTCTTTCTTTTTTTTTTTTTTTTTTTTTTTTTTTTTTTGTAGTCTCCTTCTCGCGAAATGTGCATTCTTGTTCTTTCCTAAAAGGAGAGGTTGGGCAACCCATCTGAATTATCTAATGGTTCGTCCGTTACAGTATTTGAAAACAGGCACTTACACAAAAGGCAACAGCAGATCAGGAAGTGTATTTGAAGAAGTCAAACTGTAGCTTATTCCATGTCTTCTATGACAGTAACGTCGGCGGCGGTAATGTAGGGGTAAAGGCTTAAACAACAGAACAAAGTAGATAAGTTTTTTTCTCAAAAAGCAGATTTTGTATGACAAAGATACTATAGGCCGATCTTTATTTACGTTTTTCCCTCATTAGCATTAAAAGAAATTCAAGCTACAATCAAACCGACTCCAGAAATTGAAAGAGAATGAATGAGAGTAATATGTTCAATATGTTAGGAGTGAGATTTTTTTGAAAGCGGTATGATTTATAAAGAAATGTATATGGTCGTGTGGCAAGACTTGCCACACAGCCGTACATTTCTTTGTAAATTGAAGTGTTTTCATAAAAATTTACATATTACTCTCAAATTTGTAGTAGTTTCTAAGTAGGACACTCTCTTTCAATTTCTAGAGTCGGTTTGCTTGTAGCTTGAATTTTTTTATGCTCATGAGGAAAAAACGTAAACAAAGATCTGCCTATAAATAACACCTACCAATGGTCCAGCTGCAAGGTCGGGTGGGGCATGTGGAAGGAAGGATGACTCAGCTGTTTGGACCTGCGGCTGCTCGTCTGCTAGTTCTTGATCAAACTGAGCCTAAAAGAAATAACAATGACATATGAATGGAACGAAATAGTCTAATTTTTGTTGCTGCTGCTAATTCCAGCGGATTAGGAATAGTGACGTAAAATGACATTACTGCAAAACAAAGGTGTCATGAAGCTTGCAAAAATTGACCAGTGAAAAATAAAAACCTGCCTGCCATTTCAATAAAAATATAAACCTCATTATTTATTAAGTTGCTGTTATCAAAAACTTATTAGCAACGTTTTTTTTTTTTTGTTTTTGTTTTTTGTTTTTTTGTTTTTGTTTTTTTGTGGCCTGGAAATCCATAATATTAGAGAAAAATTAGTGACACATCTAGATTTTGATTGGCTAACAATTTTTTCTCAGATCAGCTAGTCGTTGTCGTTTGCTGCTGTATTCATTGCTATTGCTAATAATTACTATTGTCTTTCCAGTAGCAGCAGTAGAAGAAGGATAAACAGGTGGAAGGGGATAAGTGCTTGCTCTTACCTGCAGTCGCCTTGCTATTGCTTCATCAGATTCCTCATTACAGGATGATAGCCTATCTTGTAAGCGCTGAAGCACACTGTCTCGACTGAGGCGGCGACGCCATGCATACCGATGCTCTGGTTGATGATTATAGGACTCGGAGTTGGCTCCCTGAGGTTCTTCACCATGGGCACCTTCTTCTACATTCTCAGGTGATAAAGTGCGATCCTAACAAATCAATTAGTATAATCAAATAAGATTACAATTTTTATTGCAAGTTCTACCATTTGACTGTTTATTTTAATTTCAACGATTACCCTGAAACAGCTATTTGGCTGATCTAAGTCAGAACATGAATTCATAATTTGCAGATCAAACCTTGAAAAAACCTCTGGAATAATCAAAGTCAGGGCATGGTTAACTCACAGATCAAACCCTGAAACAACCTCTGGGCTGATCTAAGTCAGGGCATGGTTAAAAGATAATAATATTTTTATATATTTTATATAGCGTCAATATCGCATAACTTCAACAACGCTTTACAGTGTTCATTAGTAACTAATACTGAATCTGAAGCTAAACCAAAAATCGAACCCTGAAACAACCTCTGGCCTGATCTAAATCAGGGCATAGCTAACTCACAGATCAAACCCTGAAACAACCTCTGGCCTGATCTAAGTCAGGGCATGACTAACTCACAGATCAAACCCTGAAACAACTTCTGGGCTGATCTAATACAGGGCAGGGCCAACCCACAGATTGAACCATGAACCATCCTCAGGGCTGATCAAATCAGGGTATATCCAACTACATTAAAAGGTCACACTTGAATTTAGCTTAGAGGAAAATTGGAGAAACTTGAGGTACTGTACTTACAATTCTTTCAGGCATGACAGGAGAATCATTAATAGTAATAGGAGAGGTCACACGGACTGGACCACTTGATGTTGAAGCTATGTTCAGTTCCTGGGGCCTCTGTCTATGTGTCAGAGAATGGGGTGTTGGCCGTCTCCCTGACCTGTACGTTGTTATGTAGGGACAATTCTGCATGCGAGATCTTAAGGCATGTAAGCGCAGACGATGGTGTTCAGTTCTTATTCTGGCAAGTCTTTCACGTGTGACATGAAGCTGCCTCTGTACACGAGCAGCAAAGTCATTGTACATTCCATTAACCTCCCTATATGACAATAAAAATGATAATGAATAATAATAACATAAAATAATGATAATAATAATTGACAATAATAATGATTGATAGTAAAAATAATTGATAATAATAATTAATGAGTATAGGAAAGCACACAATCGTGAGTACAATTCAGAATTTACAGCTCTATAGGTAGTTACGTATACAGACGTATGTATAATAATAACAACAACAACAACAACAATAATAATAATTAACAATAATTAGCTTATAATTAATGAACAACATATTTTGGGGGAGGAATTGGTGATTGAGGGAGAATGGAAGAGCCTTAAACAATAAAAATTATTGCTCAGTTTAACTTGACGTCATTTCCTGCCTCAAGTGCAATGTTCATCAGCTGAACCACAAGTTTTCAATAGAATTCTTTCTGCCTAAAAGCACATGATGGTCAGTGTTTATGAACTATTTGGAGGCGGGGGAGTAGCGAGGTCTTGATTATAAGGGGGGGGAGGGGGGGCAATATACTATTTTCCTGCCAAATCCACAGGAATTCCGCAGTGGGCAATCCCCTCCTTGCTATGCTCCTGTCTGGAGCAACTAGATAATGGGCTTAAAAGACTTTCTTTGCCTGCTTGAGCCCCAGTAATTAAAGTACTGCTACATTGCATACATCCAAATCATTGCCAGTATACTCACTCTATGGCACCTTCATTAGATCTTTCTGCGTCATCCATAGTGCCTATATCATTGTGTTCTGCTCCAGTTAGGTCAATGAAGGGTATATCTCTTTGTCTAGACTTGGTTCTTTCGTCAGTAATGATCACCGAGTTGTCTAGTTCACTGCTGTCGCTGGACGTGGATGGTGAGGTGGGTCTTACACGGCTGGTAAAAGGGCTTAGGGAAGACTGCCCATGTAAATCTTCATAAAGAATTGCCGAAGGGTCTCTCGGAGAGCCAGGATTTCCGTGCATTGAGGAAGAAGTACTCTCAGTGTCACTCTGTCCCATGGTTAACTATTAATTTCAATACTAATATTTCTGAGGGAAAGAGAAACAAATTATTAAAGATCCAATGAAATATATGTTATTTACCGGCCAGGAGGTCTGGATAGGGAAAAATTGTGCCCGAGGTCTTGAATATACAGACCAAGGCCATTAGGCCATTTTCAAGACCGAGGGCACAGTTTTTCCCTAACCGACTATACTAATAGGAAGGTAAATAACTTATTTATTTTTTTCCTGTATTATTTTTTCTTGCTTTCATAATCGTTTTGTTTTGTTGTTAAGCGGCAAAGGATAACGGACCACAAGCACGGGCAGATACTGACAAAATACTGCCCGCTCAAACAGCCAATCAGAGCGCATGATTTTTTAGGATACCAGACTGGAAAAAAAATATTTTTTTCTTATTTTTAGAATTATCTAACTTAAAGCAATGTGAATAATTGCGAGCAGGGCTCAAAATAGGGGGGGAAATGGCTTGCCACTGTTTTTCATTTTTGATCAGTGAAACACATTTTGACCTGCAATTTATTTTTATGGCATGCCACATGAAATAGAAAAGGCTTCCGACAAAATTAAATTACAGTTTTTTCAGACTTCTGAATCGATATTCTGATTAGACATTTGTTCTGTCAGAGTATTAACAGTAAAAAATATTGATGATAAGTGTGCACATGTTTTACCATGGAGAGCTAGATGCTAGATGAAATTTATTTGTTAAAAGGAAATTTTTTTCAATAATGAGCAATAATGGCAAAAAGAACCAAAAACTAGACTTTCGTATGAGTTTTGATCCCAATTTTCATTTTGGGTTTAACACTCAAAACATTTTTCAAACAGTTAGAAACTGATGTACTATGATAAAATGCCTGTTTGAAGCAGTATTCTCAATTGCACAAAGATGTTTTGTTGCATTTGTGTTAGAATGTTGCTTTTTCAGGCTTTTTATAGAAAATATATGAGAAATAAGCAAATGAAGGCTTAAACCTCATTTAGGGTTAACACTTTGATACCACTTTCATCGGTCATCTCCACTTCCAAACAAGTTAAACTTTCTGAATAACAAGATTTTAGCCTTGTACAACAGACTTTCTTCAAGAAAATAGTTTTTGACGCTCACTGCTTGAATACAAAAAGAATTTCAAATTACTGGAAGATGATGTCCAGTAAATTTGACCTGCTATTTTAGTATCAATTTGGCAGTTTATATAATTATTTTTGCCAGTCAAACCTTAAATTTGGCAGGCCTGGCATTTCGCCATTGGCAGGCTGCTATTTTGAGCCCTGCTAGTGAGCATTGAGCATAGAATTATAAAAAATATAATTAAAACAACTGCCATTACATTATCTTTAATGTAGTATCTTGTTCTGTTTGTCCTTTAAGATTAATTTCCTTTATTTCTAAGTTTCTGATTCCATAATGAAGTGAATTTCATATCAAAACACACTTTTAATCTTTTAGTTTCAACCAAGTTTGATTTGAGTGGAACAAACAGTGCTTCAATAATAGGTTTTTTTAGGGATTTTCTCACAAAAAATGTCTGCCTCACATTTTTGGTGTTTCAAATTCCAAGTCATACTTAGCCTTTTTGTTAGCCTTTTTTTCAAACCCATAAGTCAAGAAAGCAGATTTTTATCAGTCGTTATTTAAACTTTGCATAATTTAATTTTAAATAATTTTTATTGATCAATTAATTAATTTCAGGCAATTGCAAGGAATGTGAAACACTCAGTTGAACACCATAAACAAAATAATGTTGAATACAGTTCATGATTAGAAAACACTTTTCCTCTTTAAATGAATATTGTTAAAAAAAACTAAGCGAGAACTATATTACATACATGTACAAGCAAAAGACAAAGCAGATTAATGTTTTAGTTACTTATATACAGGCAGAAATCTGCTTGCTTTGAAATATTATAACCTTTAATTCAACTCAATATTGTTATACAGAGATATAAATCTGCTTGCCATTTAAAGATCAAATGTATTAAAAATAGAAATATTTGCTGGTAAGTGCTCTTACAAAGAGGTTATGCTTGGGTAAGTTGAGTATTGTGCAATAATAAAAATTTATTTTTGGCTTGGTTAGGCATTGATTATGAAATAAATTTTCAATTGTGTTAAACTTAGTTTATTGATAATAAAGGTAAGGTAACTTATTGACCATTCTTAGAGAACTTTTCTTGAAAAAGACACTTCATCAGATAGACCCGTTTTCAAATAAGGTTGGATGAGAGGGAGACAGACGAAGAGAAGAAGAAATAGCACGATTTGCATTGAAAAAAATTACTGGTTTCTTTTTTTGTATTTCCCTGTTAGGCAAGCTTACATCCACTATGATCTTAAGGGCAGTCTATATGAGAAAGCTTACCCTTAACAAGATATTAGTGCTAATGCTAGGTTTAATCCTTAGAAAGTGGACCCACATAGATTATGATCATGGTTACCGCAATACAACAATAGCCTTATCTCTGGCTCTTCAAATTTAAATAGCTTTTTGCACCATTGGACATTCATTCCTAGATTTTAACTAGGCTATGTACTGTAAAACATCAATAATGCTGTTTTCTATGAGTTCATTTACTATACAGTGGATCCCCTTTAATATAGACTTCAAAGGACCAGAAAATAAGTTTGTATTATAGAAATGTTATGAATAGAGAGGTTTGGTATATGAAATAAAGAATGCATGGTGAATTTGCCAGGATCTAAATATCTGTCTGTTATATAGAGGTGTCTGTTATATAGAGGTGTCTGTAATACAGAAATGTTCATAAGGAGAGGTTCCCCCTGTACATCGATTCTGCTGTAGGGTAATTCAAAATTTTAAATTTGTTTCAGAACCAAAAGACTGTCAAGTTCAAATTAATATCACAAATGTGAATATGTACTAAAGAAAGAAAAAATAATGATGAAGCAAAAATGACTTAGACAAGTTTGATTTGTGTTCACAGAATCCCTGATTAAGTTATGAAAGGAGAATAAATGAATGAGATGAACAATGGAAACTTGTATACTAGTCATTCTTCTTGTTTCTATTACAAATGAGAAAATACCCCAAAGAAAGGGGAAAAAAGACAGAACTCAAAATGACTAGATAACTTAAACATATGTTTACAGGATTTCTGACCAATAAATTTTAAAATATCATTCAAATTCTTTGTAATTTTATGTAACAGCTGATCAAAAACACCAGACAAGACAATAGTTCTCCAAAAAAACCACATTAGAAAAGCAGCAAATCCCATGTTTATGGAATGATCATAAAGAAATTCAAATCCTTTGATTTAAACTGATATGTCTTTTTTTTTTCCTGGATCAAAGGTTCCTGCTCTACCTTATTTCCCCACTGAATGAACAAAGAATTACATTTCATACTTCGAGTTTTAGGAACTTAGCTAAAGCAATCGAAACTCACGTGCCAAAAAGCTATATATTGATCAGTAAAAAGGAATTATGAACAACAAGGCTAAAGCAGACAGGAAACATATTTTGGTTAGAACTGTCTTTATCATGATCTTTCTTGGCTTACAATATGTGGTCGAAAATCTAAACTTTCTCCAAATCTAAATGAAAACGCTAAAAGATAAATATTCCGAAACGAAAGAAAATAAGAATTTTAGATATAAAGAAACAGTGCTATTAAATCAGGAGTGTTTGGATGCTTTTTCCTTTTTTTTTTCAAATTTCCAAGAGTCATTTGAAGGGTATTAAGCTTATTGTACAGAAATGGCACAGAATCGTCTCTGCTTCAGGATTTCCGTACAAGCTGGAATAATTCTCGAATTACTAAGAAAGAAGGGAACAGCACAAGCAAATAAGAAGAACTAATGAGAGCTTTTTGTTTTGGTATAGAAAGAAACGCTTCAGAGTAAATTCAAATTTCAAAGAAATCAAAATCGTCATTACGGTAAAGACGTTTGGAAACGGAATTCGAAGTCCAACGCTTTTGCTTCGTGTTTTTTAACTGTGATTGTAAAATTAAGCTTAAAATGTATGGAATTGGTATTCATAGGTTAGATTTTAGGACTAGAAATGTTAGTTGAAAATGCTGGAGTAGTTGCGTCACAAAAATATTAGAAAGATAAGTGAAAACCTCAGAGAACTTGAATAATAAAGAAAGCACGACTTTGCCCACCTTCAAGTTCTTTTTCTTACCCAAAAAAAGCTACCAAAAGGCATAGAATGAACGCCAAGCTGTATTATATAGACTGTACCTTCAAAGAAGCGATGTAAAGTAGAGCAGAAACGATAAAGAAGGCCAGAATAAAAGAAATTTTTGAGATGTCACGCTCCTAAGCAACTATTACTCCTTGAAGAATATTCAGCAATGCATAAAATATGCTTAACACTCACCTCTAAAACGCTCTAAAACGACCAAATCCTGCCTTGTTCTAGCTTTCTCTGCTATCTCTAGGTTAGAATGAAGGCTGTTTGGGTAGGGGTTTAGAAATCTAAGTTATTTAGGCGGGTTTTTTTGGCCGTTTTTTCGGTGAATAGTTTTTCTTTTCAAAGCAAATCCGCCACAAACCGAGGTTTATTGTGCTCAGAATGACGCATGCGTACTACAACACAAACAACTACCGCTGACAGGAAGCGATACAAGACCGCAGATTATTAAGACAATGACGCAGACTTTTCGACTTTTATTTATTCACACACTTATTTACAATAGTCAAATATATAGGAAAGATATACAAATATACAATTGAATTAAAATAAACCAATTAGATAATAACAATTCATGATTGGGTGTGCGTGGCTGTCGAAATATAGTAAAAAATTATAGCCACACTTGACGTCATAGCCACACTGCTGAACTTTGTCGGCAACCTAAAACCCTAAAAAATACATAGTTGATTAATGATTATGATAAGAAATTTCAGTATCKGTCGGTTTCTGGATGAAATGCCTCGAAATTTTGGAACTTAAATAAAATTTAACGGTATATTGCTAAATCATCGTATGACGTCATGTACACGTGATACTTAGTCGGCATTTTTTTACCCGATTTTGCCATTTTGTCCTGTTATAAGGAAATGTATGGAGATTCATCAAAAATTTCAATAAAATCATCTAAACGTGAAATAAAGCCTCGAAATTTTACCCGATCATTGAGAATTAGCACTTGGTGGGGAAAAAATCTTAAAACGGGCTAAATTCAAAAAATAACCACGCAGAGCGAAAGAAGTGCTATTTCTCAATGATTTTGCATCTTTAGTGTCAAATTACCAAATAAGGCTAATCCGTATTGCTTACTATCAATCACGTGACTTTTTGGAGTAGACTTGGGGGCAAACAAGCGGTTGACTGAGGGGCAACTAGCGGATGTTAAGTCAAAACATGTCAAATAAGTCCTCAAACTATTGTATTTGACTATTTCTACGACATGAAACCAGAAAACAAGAGATCAAAACAACCTCCAAAATTCTGCAAGCCATTAAAAAAGAGCTATTACCGGAAGTGACGTCTATTGATAGCAACCTATAGGAAATAGCACGATCTTGAGTACAATTCGGAATTTTTAAGTACCGTGAGTGATGTTTTGAAAGTTTTCAAAATAGGCGAGTCCAATTTGAGAACTTTCAGATCGTCACGAAGCAGGCCGAGGTCCTTTAACTGGATGTGATCTTAGATTCAAATTTAAGGTCCTTTCACTAGATGTGATCTTAGCTTCAAAGGTCCTTTCACTGGATGTGATCTTAGCTTAAAGGGTCCTTTCACTAGATGTGATCTTAGTTTCAAGCCGAATCGCAAGCCTCGCTTCCTTGTTATTTTCCAGCCAGCTTTGAAATTTTTATCATGGCAACCGGAGCGTAGTGATTGGTCAATCCTTACGATTACGTTTTCTTGTTCCACACTCGATCGTAAATTGAGCGTAATTGTAATCGTAGTCGTAAGGAAACAAAACGTTCTGATCTTAGATTACGATTACGACGCTGTTACGATGCACCTTACGACACAGGTAGCCCAAGCTTGGTTTCTGTTCAGTAAGGAAATGTATGATTCTTCAAAAATTTCGATAAAATCATTGAAACGTAAAATAAAGCCTCAAAATTTTACGTGATTATTGACAAATAGCACTTCTTTCCCTCTGTGTGGTTAGTTTTTGAATTAAGCCCATTTTAAGAATTTTTCTCCCCATCAGTATTGTTTCTTACTTATTTTTTAAAAACTTTAATTTTCTACGTAAACTAAAACGAATTTTTATTTTTTAAACTTACGGAAAAATAAATTTTTAGTAGCCATGACTTTCAGGTCACCCATCCAGGTACTAACTTCGCATAACCGGTATTGACTTAGAGTCATTATTCAAGCCAAAGTTTCATCCACTGGACCACATTTCCAGTTGAATCAGCATAACAATAGCC